TGGAGTCTTCACCAACCTGGCACTCTCCAGATGTTTGGGACAACAACTCTTATCAACTGTATTGGCCGGGGCTGGTGTGAGTTCTACTCCAAAACATCTGGAGGGCACATGGTTGGCGAAGCCTGGAATAAGAAACGGAAGGCCAGGGCTGCAACCCCACCCAATCCAAACAGCTGCTGCCAGATCCTATTGCCACAAGCACTACAGCCTTTTTTCTTTTCTTTTATTTCATCCACCTCTGGGTGGGCAGTGAGGAGATAATGGAGGTGCACTGACAGGGGCCTGCAGTAGCTGACCCCTACCCTTGAGAAAAGAGCAGGTGGTGGGAAGGAGAGCAAAAGGAAAGGAAGATTCCAGATGAAAGGGGAAACACATTTCATATCAGAATCTTCAAAGCCAAGATGGGAGACTTAAGAGCACCCGCTGATATAGTGGGAATGTAAGATGCCTGGTGGAATGGTGATAATCAATGTGATGAAGTTATCTCTGGATATAAAATCTCTACATAAAAGAGAGTAGGTCATGCCGGCAATCGTGTTGCCCTACATGTCAAAGAGGACACCGAGCACAATAAATCAGAAACCTGAGGAAGAAATCAAATCACAGAATCGCTGCTGGTAGAAATACCAGGTTAAAAAAGGAAATATATTTACACTGACTATTTCCAAAAGGTACCTTGGCTATTTATATGAAGAAATAGTTCTTTCCTTTAGAGACAGAAGAAGCTGCATTCACTGTTGCAATGAAGCGGTTCAGGCAGGCCATTTTAGACCTTTGGTGGTCTAATGGCCTCCCTCTTTAGATGGTCATGTGCACTGCATTTGAGGGGGCTCATTCTGCTGATTGGGGACCCTGAACTTCTTCCCTTGAATCCTGCCCTGAGAAACAGGGGCACATATTTCACTTTAAAGTAGACTTCATATTCCTCCATCACTTTTAATTTCCTCCCTCAAGATGGTTTGAACATTACCTCTCTTCAAGGCGAGTTATCAGGACTGGGCCTTGGGCCTTACCCTGCATTGAAGTGAATGCTAATACAGTGGTACCTTGGAAATCAAACGGAATCCATTCCGGAAGTCTGTTTGACTTCCAAAACGTTCAGAAACCAAGGCGCAGGTTCCGATTGGCTGCAGGAAGCTCCTGAAGCCAATTGGAAGCCACGTTGGACGTTCGGGTTCCAAAGAACTTTCACAAATCGGAACACCCATTTCTGGGTTTGCGGTATTTGGGAGCCAAAATGTTCGACTCACAAGGCATTCAGGAACCAAGGCATGATTGTACCAAAGTTTCCCACATTCATTTGAAGCTGAAAATTAGACTTGCTTACAACCAACTCCAGGTCCAGCTTTTAAGGCCTCTAACCATCATAAAAACTCTTGTAGTGGTTTGTTTATATCAGTGGTTCCCAGTTAGGGGTCTGGGGACCACTGAGTGTCCCTGGCAGGGGATGGTGCCAGGGGGGGTCCCCGGCACCATCCCCTGCCTGGGACTCACTTACCTTGTTGATGGCACATTGAAAGCCTTCCACAGATCATCCAGCCACTGCTCATGAACAGCGCCTGCTTGCTGGCAGGGGAAAAACTTGTGAAAGAGTTGCTGGGTGGCAAGTAAGCTGGGAGTGGGAACAAACTCTGATGCAGTTTCTTAAGGCTCGCTCTTGCGATTGGAGGGGTGGGGGAAGAGATTGCAAACAGCTCACATGCTTATCGCTAAAAAAAATAATGTAAGGGATTCCTTCCCCTTGCTCTCTACTTTTTAACTGAAAAGAACTTTAATTGCTTTCAACAACTATCAAGATTTGAGCACTCTACCAGTGCTTGTAGGTAGGGTTTTCATTGACTCTTACCTCATGTATTTGGGCTTCATGTTCCCAACAGGGGAAATAGCTAAGCAAATTGCCACAATGATTAGCACAACAGCTCACCCTCTGATGATTTAGTTTAGTGCTCGGGCTGGGTGACACTTTCGTTTCAACATCGTGATATATCAGCAGCTAAATGCTGGTATATGCTGATATATCACAATGAATGGAATTTATTTCGGCTGCTTCTTCCTCCCCTAGGGCAGGTCTTCCTTAGGGAAGGAAGCAGCAGCAGAAATACATGGCCCAGCCCTACACAGTGAGCGAGTCCTGATGCCTCTCAGGGCTCACGTGTGAGTTGAGGAGCACTGGGGCTTTGCTGAACTGCTCAGCTGGGGGAATGGAAGAGGCCTCAGAATTGTAGAGCTGGAAGGAACCCTGAGGATCATCTAGTCCAACCCCGTGTATTGCAGGAATATGCAGCTGTCCCATATAGGGATTGAACCTGCAACCTTAGCATTACCAGCAAAACACTCTAACCAAGTGAGCAATCCAGGCTGAATTATATTCTTATATTTATGATATGTTCCTATTAGCCTTTCAGTTTGTTGGACTATTTAAATTTTGTTATGTCCTCTAATTGTTAGTGAAATATCTTACATAAACTTCTTGATGTCATGAGCCACTTTGAGCATGCCAATAATAATAATACCAACATTACAAAATTCCAGCTTTTTTCTACTCAGTCTTCACCAATTTCTATCAAGCCCTGACCAAGCCATCACTTATGACATGAAGGTGCAAGATTCCTCAGTTAGCAGAACCATATGTTTCTAACGTTTTGCTAAGATGTACCATCTTAGATTACAAGTAAGGAATAGCATGTCTGAATACTCTTTCATATACAAAGACTTCTGCATATAGAACTCTTGCAAATTAGGGACACAATTGCTTTTTTTAAAATTAAGTTGTAGTGGAGTAATGGAGACAAGTTTTTCCTACTGTCTGGGGATAGGCAATTTGTGGTAATATCACAAATTTTATGGTCTGTTTTTTAGTACAGTGGTATTTACATGGGATGCGGGTGGCGCTGTGGGTTAAACCACAGAGCCTAGGACTTGCCGATCAGAAGGTCGGCAGTTTGAATCTCCTCGGCGGGGTGAGCTCCCATTGCTCAGTCCCTGCTCCTGCCAACCTAGCAGTTCGAAAGCACATCAAAGTACAAGTAGATAAATAGGTACCACTCCGGTGGGAAGGTAAACAGTGTTTCCGTGCGCTGCTCTGGTTCACCAGAAGCAGCTTAGTCATGCTGGCCACATGACCCAGAAGCTGTACGCCGGCTCCCTTGGCCAATAAAGAGAGATAAACACCGCAACCCCAAAGTCAGTCACAACTGGACCTAATGGTCAGGGGTCCCTTTACCTTTTACCTTGGTTTACAACCATAATCCATTCTGCAGGTCCGTTTGTAAACCAAAACAGGTCGTAACCCAAGGCGCGCTTTCGCCAATGGGGCCTCCAAAAAATTTTTGTTCATAATCCAAAAAAAATGGGTTGTAATCCAAAAAAAGTTTGCAAACCGGGACACGCACTTCCGGGTCTGATGTGTTTGCAATCCAAAACATATGTAAGTCAGACTGTTTGCAAACCAAGGTACTACTGTATACCTAAAATCCTTTGCATTTTAGGGACCACCCCACATTTTCTTCAGAAAACTGCTTTGCTCAGGTAACTACCATAGAGTTATCAAAATTTTCAAAACTATGGGGTTCGTGGCTTAGCTTTTGAAAAATAGGGGGTCCTCATTAATTAGCTAATTAGGAACCACTGGTTTATATAATCAGCTGATCAGAGAGGACACAATCATCATGGTCTAATCTTGTGCCATCAGAATGCATGTATTTTTAAATGTTCATAAATATTAATTGACCTCTTTTAATATGACAAAATCTGCATTGGTTAGCATATTGATCTATCTCCAAATCACATCTCTTATTTGCTTAAATTTGCTGTTCCAAACTGAGAGTGTGTGTCACATTTTGGCCAGATACAAGTAAATGAAAGGCAGTAAGCTTATCGAATGCCAAAAGATTAAGAAGTGTATTTAAATATATATATATATATATATATATCTTTTTTAAAAATTCAACAACACAAAAACAGGTAACACAAAAGAAAAACAACAGAGAATCAAATGAAAACTAAAATTAAGCACGCACATGCACAGGCACACAAATACAAAGTACAGTGGTACCTCAGGTTAAGTACTTAATTCATTCCGGAGGTCCGTTCTTAACCTGAAACTGTTCTTAACCTGAAGCACCACTTTAGCTAATGGGGCCTCCTGCTGACGCCATGCCGGCGGAGCACGATTTCTGTTCTCATCCTGAAGCAAAGTTCTTAACCAAGGTACTATTTCTGGGTTAGCGGAGTCTGTAACCTGAAGTGTATGTAACCTGAAGCGTATGTAACCCGAGGTACCACTGTACAAATTTGGCTGTTTCATTGCCATTCCCTTTGCACTTGATGTCCAGGCCAAATGCCTCACCACCACCCTTTAGTTGGTCCTGCTTGCTTATATCCAATGTGCTGTTAAACTATCAAGCAGTTGTTAAAACTGAAACAACAGGACTTGTGATCAGGATCTCTGCAAATTCTGGTCTCATCACCAACTGTGTTGAGGCCAAATGATTATTTAGACAACTGGTAAGAAAGATGACTACAACACCCCTAATTATTCAGGAGCTCTTTTCTTGACTCCTCCTTTCTACTTCAGATTTATCCCTGAATCATGTAAATAATTTGTTTCAATCATGCATGGATCTAAGATGTATCAGACTAAAGACACGTTTCCCCAATCAGTCAGCTCTCTCATATCCCTTATGCACAGATTGAAACCAGCATATTATTTGCATAATTTGATAAAAACAAAATACCCACTTCAAAGCCACAACACACGACAACGGTCTGCATGGGAAAAGCAGAATTCACGAGTAACAGCTGAAAAGAATTATGATGAGACTAACAAAATACCCATTGTTTACTTGTATCCTGCTTTTCCATGGTAAACCACGCTCAAAGTGGCTCACAGCATCAGGAAGTTTATGTAAGATATTTCATTAACAATTAGAAGACATAACAAAATTTTAAATAGTCCTACAGTTTGAAAGGCTAATAGAAACATGTAAGAATACAATCCAGCCTGGATAGCTCAGTTGGTTAGAGTGCGGTGCTGATGCTGCTAAAGTTGCAGGTTCATTCCCCGTATGGGACAGCTCATATTCCTGCAATTACACAGGGTTGGACTTGATGATCCTCAGGGTTCCTTCCAGCTCTACAATTCTATGGTGGTATATTAGGCATTAGGGGCTTCTGGCAGAATTACATTAGGCAGGTTTTCCTCACCCTTTCAACCTGGTCCTGGTCTGCAGGTTACCCAGAGTCACCTTGCTGGCCATTGTGAGAACAGGATGCTAGACTAGATGTGCCACTGGCCCAATACATCTGCCTTGGTTTGGGAAGTAAATCTCTCCGTACCTGCATATCCCAAAGTTCAGTTACTCTGTTGTTATGTAGCATGACCAAGTAGTAGAATCCAGCAAGTGACCTTTATAGAAACTAGCAACATTCCCACCACCCTGAAGGGCTGAATGTATATGGTGGGAGAGCATGGCCCCATGCTTTTGAAGCCCATGGAGCCATATGCAACTCATCAGACTTTCACGTATCCTTGGGTTGAGAGAGGTAGCCTGGTGCGACGGACAGAATGTTTGGATAAGAACCATCAAGATTTGGGTTCAAATCCATACTCAGGGATGAAACTCCCTGGTTGACTCTGGTTGAGTTGCTATACTCTCAGTCTAGCCTACTTCACAGGGTTGTTGTGATATCAGGATAAGTTAATAAATGCAGTTTCCTGTGGACTGCAACTTGTCAGAAGCAGTTCAGCAATGAAATATGCTATCATTGGAAGCAGTGGATTAATTTCCCCCTGTATTGATTTGCAAGTAAAGACTGGAAAGACACAAGTAAATTAGGTATAGAATATCCTGTTTTAGAGCAGAGTATTAGGTTAAAATGAAAAATTTCAACCCTAGGAAAACTCTGTCCCTTCTTACAGCTTGTTACTGTATTTTTTTTCCCTTAAATGCTTTATTCCAAAATATCTTTATGCAAAAGAAGCAAGCTATTTTGACAGACAATCCAAATCAGAAGTAACCTTACATAGAATAAGCTATCTATGCATCTCAGGATTTGGCTGTACTCATTATCACCTCCAGCCATCAACATCTGCACAGAGAATTGGTGTATTTGCCCCTTTTTTTGTAATGCTCATTTACAAAACTCCAAAAGCAATTCAAAATATTGGCAGGTTTCAATAATTAGAAGAAGGTTAACGCAACACTAGTAAGGTGGGTGGGTTTAGATACACAACTGAATTTATATATTTAATACAGGCTACAACTACTTCCTGGTAGTTTTATTCACACAACTGTAGTGCCACACTTTGGGCACTCCTGGTCATTACTCTCTAATAAAGCACCTTGTTCCATGGAAAGAGAACCAGGTAGATGTCAAACCACTGAGGTTCCAATTTTGCTCCATTATAGTGCCTAATCCTTTGACTAACCAGCCAAGCATCACACCGCAGCCTTGAAAAATGCCAACAATTTGATGGCAACAGTAACATCTGTGCAACAAAGGAGCAAGGAAGCAAGCATGAAATAATTGCTGCATTCATTTCTATATCTATTTAGGCAGTAATAACTTGTTCCCTTGGGGAAGGAATATCATTTTTCTTCCTAAAATCTAGGATAGGTATTTTTTTCTTTTTAAACAAACCAGACAGGTGGATTCAATAGGTGTGGATTTAAGGAACCCAACTGAAACTCACTGAAGTCCACGGAGACCACGGACTGAGATGGTGGCAGGAGAGCATAAGGGAGAACCAAGAGATAGTAGTACAGACTGTACCTCTGAACACAATCCAAAGTATTGTTTGACTTCAAAGCAAGCATCCATTTATAAATAAATTAAAAAGGCACATGAATAGGCAAAATTGGGAACATCAAGTGATCACAGAAGTTAAAACTGGAATTAGCCAGTGCGAAGAAACAATGGAGATCAAGGGAGGAGAATAGTAGACCCATATGACAATCCATCAGCCATGGTAACCAGTGTCCCACTTGTAGGATAAACCAGATCTGACTGCTTTCCTCCCTTTCTCCATCACAGACCCACAAAGGTTTTGCAAAGAAGAAAAAGTGCCTGCAGCAAGTGAAAAGGAATATACTATCCGTACCCAGTTAGTTGACTCTCTCCGCACCCCCTCCATCTCAACGCCCATCCATATACGAGTTTCCAAAAGATACTCTCAGACAAACAGTTAATTGTCAGCCAATGTCCTCTTGGAGAGACTCTCCCTATGGAAAGACCTCGGTGCTGAATTTCAATTACAACCACAAAGTTGACCAACCATATAAACCTATCCACAGAGCAATCGTACACTGTTATTTTTTTCTTTCTGCAGAAATAATCCTCATTATGTTCATTGGAGTTTACACCCTTGTAATGTATGCTTAGGATTGTGGCCCACCACTTTAAAAAGTAGGGTGGGGGGAGAGAAGGGAGGAAAACCTTCATGATTCTGGTAGGGAAGAGTGCCAAAAGCAGCCATCTATGAAGACATCCTCATTATTCCAGACAGTAACAGAAATTTTAGGAAAGCCCTCTTAGGGAAGAAAACTGACCACCACTTCTTCCTTCCCTCAATCCCACTCCATCAAGAAATGAAACTTCAGCAATAGATTTCTTTGCTTGGTTTCTGCAGCAAGGGCATTTACAGGAGAACCAGTCAGAGGCTAGGATGGAAAAGGGGGGCATTTGTGATATCAGACTACCCTTTTACCTCTTCTGATAGACTGGGTTATCAAAAATGCCAGGGCCAAAATAGGAAGGAGCCCATCCTTAACCATTCTGTCCTTATAATGTGGGGAGAGGAGGTGTGATGTGTCACACAGTGGTTCTATCATCATTCAAGAACTACAGGTTTACAGACACAACATTTGGCGAGGGATCATCAAGAGGGGTGGCGGGTGGAAAAAGCCATGAAACATGTTCAATTTCCCACCTTGATGGAGCTATCACCCTGCTTTGCAAGGGGGGGTTGTAGGCTTATTTGACATTCTGAAAAGAGGAGTTGCCCATTTCCGTCCCATCTCACCCACCCACCCACCCCCAAAAGCAAATCTCCCTCGGAACAGCGTTGCTCTCACAACCAGATCCCTGCAAACTTTAACATCCTGCTGTAAAAACAACAACTGCAAAGCAGAGATCCTAGGAAGGCTTTCCTTAAGCACAGAGATTACCCCCCCCCTCCGCCCCGACACACACAGCTGAAAAATGCATGAGAATTTAGGTGGTTCCATGGACTGAGGGAACCCCCAACCTCAGCCCAAAGTCACCAGCTACCCACACCTCGAAAGGTCTTCCCAAACTTAGCCACCCTCCTCTGGCCCGACTTACCGGCGGCTGATGTTGCCAAAACCCCCACCGAAAGCAGAAGAATCCGGCTCCAGTAGCTCACCTCCACCGTCATGAGAGCAAAAATCCCCAATTTTCCCCAATTCCGTTTAAAGCTGCAGTGGCATGCCGGCTTGTCCCAACCGAAAGAGGGTTGCATGTCAAAGAGGGGTTGGGGGGTTGATTTGCTTGGAGGAGGAGGGAAGACGGGGAGGAGGAGGAGGAGGTGGAAGAGGAGGAAAGGGGGGGAGGAGAAGAGAGAGATGGGTGATTGGTTTGAAATTTTCGTCTTAACCCCCCCTTCCTTTGCTCAATGGGATAATTAGGATAGGAGGAAAGGGAGGCTTCTTTTAAAGGGGGGGTCAGGATGGCGCTTATTTAATCTTATATACATATATACATACATATGTATTTGCTCATAAAGAAAAAAAAGATCCGAATGCACAGAGAGCTTTTTTTCTCTCTCCTCCCAGCTGCTGCAGCTGGGCTAAACCAACTCACACCGTAGCTTGGGGAGAGAACTGGCTATCTCTTTCTCTCTCCCCCTTTTCCACCCTCCCTTCTCTTCTTCCTCGGTCTTTTTTTTTTTTTTATGCCTACCTTGGATCAAGCTTTTCAGGATTAACAGCTGAAGCTCCCCAGGGAATTATTCTTTTAAGTTCCAGGTGATTAATCACCACTACATCGCTGGGGATTTTGTTTTAATGGTCTCTTACCTTTAAAACAAACACTAAATACTGGGGGTTGGGAAGATTGAGGAGGGGGACTCAAGTCTGGATGGGCCGCTGAAAGGTTCGTTAACTTCCCAGCGCTTTCCGCATCGTGCGGGGAAGGAAAACCCTCCAATCCAGCTTGCATTAGCTTGATTTGATGAGAATAAAATTCCCTGCAAAATCTCTTCCTCATCACCACCTTTAAGAAGAAAGGGGGGCGCCGGGGAAGCGTGCCAGTTTCACGCCACCATTTCTTCCAGGGAACAATCCACAGACCCTTGAGTTGAATTGACAAGGTTCAAGCCCTGCATTGATGGGAAGGTGGGGAGAAAATCGCCCCTTTCGCTCGGGAGGGCGAGGGCGAGATGTCTGCATTTGTAAACCATTTGTAGGATGTTGCAAGAGCTAGAGAGGAATTACAAGGTAATTCTCTCCCCCCCCCCCGCAACAAAGAATCGGAGCCTCCCCCCCTCCCCCCCCGCTTTCGCAGGCGACTTTGTCTCTGTCTGCTCTTGAAAGGGCTTTGAGTGGGACGGAAAGGGGATTCAGAAATCTCGGCCATTACCCTGCCGAGTACTCCTTAAATGATGCTGGGCTCGGGTACTAGTGTCCTTTTGCAGAGAGGAGAACGGCTTGCTGGGGAAGGAGGAGGGGAGGTTCCCTCTCTCTCCCCCCCCCCCCACCCCCCTCAGATGGCGCACCTATGCATTGCAAAAGGACGAACGTAAAGGAAATTAAAGAAACAGTGGGGGGCTTGATTAGCTTTCGGAGGAGGCTGGAAATGGTCAGGCTGTCAATTCCCCCCACACTCCAAAAGCTTCCGGATTCGTTCCAAAAGGCATCACACACACACACACACACACACACACACACACACACACGGCTTTTCCATTGACCATTTCGAACCCAGTGTCCCCTCTCCGACAACAGATAAGGGGGGAGACACCCTCTTATTTATCTGAGAAGTGTACTGGTGCTGTGGGGAGTAATATTAGATCAGATTCAAAAATACAAACCAGGAGAAAGAATATGAATGAGA